TCATGATAAATGAAGAAAAATTAACCACTTTTTGACAGAATAAAGTGTCCAAGAAGCAAAATGAGATTGCAATACAGATAAATTTATCAAAAAATAAATATTTTTAATTTGCTAATTATTCAATTTAATGTTTTTTAACATGCAAATCAAAATAATGTACGTTTTGAATTCAGAAATTGGCGGCCATTTTGGATTTTTATACCCTGAACAAAATCTCAAAACAATTTAAATTATTCAGTCATACATTTCATACCATGACCTGTGCAATAAATCCTCCATTAAGTAGTCTGAGATGTTTTATACTGAGAAAGGCTTGTTGACATATCAAAACAAAAAGCCCATTTTATGTGGTGGCCATCTTGGATTAGAGCCATCTGTGTTCAAATGTACAATTTTGTGATAAATTAACTGGTAAAAATTAAAAATATAGACTTCAACTTATTCAAATACATCAAAACATGTAAAATATTCCTAATTTTTGGTTAATAAAAAAAATTTTCAAATTTAGGTATTTGTATTTTTTCACAAAAAGTAAGGAAAATGGCCGCCATCTTGGATTCAGTCGCCATCTTGAAAAATGTAAAGTGCCTGAAAAATCAAAGAAGGCCAAAGTACTTGTGATCAGTGCAAATTTTGATAATATTAAGTTGTTAAGTAACTTTTAAATCAATTTTTGTATTTACAGTTGACACATGAATTTACTGGCGGCCATCTTGGATTTGGCCTGTTTCCGGTACAAACGGACACTTTTTCAAGCCGGAAACAAGCAGAAATGAAAAATTCAGGTTCTAAACTACAAGAATCAATCATAAAACCTTTGCCTGACGGGGGGTGCAGCCAAATCCTTAAATAAGGCCTTTTTTCAATTTGGCTCATGGACTATGAAGTGCCGTCATGTTTTAATGCTTGCCTAGTTAACGTAAGAGCAGTTCTCAAGGCAGGTTCTAACTATCAGCAAATTGACTAGTGTTTGACAGATACAGGGAAGAAACAAAAAAGGTGCTCCTCGGACACGATTAAACTAAAATTTTGCTAACTGCCCATTATTTTCCCCATTAGATATTCTAAAGAAATGTAATTTAATTCATTTCATATAATACCGTTCATTTTCAAGTAATCAAGTAATTATTATTATTTTATGAATTTAAGAACAGTATTTTCTTAACATGTATCTGAATCCCCCAGAGTCGATAAAGTGTTACATATGCTAGTATTCCTGCGCTTAGCTGTGATTTTACTTCCCCCACTACCTGATACAAAATAGTGCAAAGAACCTGTTACAGATAATTTTTTTTTCGTTCCACGTTCACCCTTGTTCTTATACAAAAACTGCACATGTAGCCAAGACGTTGTCAGTGACAACCGTGCTTGCCTTAACATTGTTAAATACATGCAATTTCGCAAACGTTCTTCAACAAAATAACCTTCCAGTAATTAGTAAAGTTTTAAGCCTATATTGCGAACATAATTTCCAAATATTTACAAAGGGAATAATAGTTTGCAGATGAGAATAAAAATATATGTAAACCTGACCTACCTCATTTAATTACATGTCTCACAGCTCAAAAGTGAAACGATTGCTACCATTTAATTACACGAAATCAGCTGTAGCGTCAGGTACGTATAGGCCTACTACTAATACGTTTGAAAAAAATTTCCTTTTGACCTGAAGGTCAAGGTCGCTATCAAAGAGGTAAGTACAAAAGGAAAGTGGCAGGGGTGGAAAATCGCTACTTATATGATTATGACGTCAGCACCGGAATATTAGTTTGTGACCTTGAGGGGCAATTAAGCACAGGCTTCAAACAACTGCGCATGTGCGAAAAGTGCGCTGTTTGAAATGAACAAGTTGGTGAAATATTGACAAAGCCTGGGTGTTTACCGTCTGGTTGATTTTATTTCATTAGCTCTCTGGTGTCTGTTTTAAAAATTTATAATAGAAATGTTCGATTGATTTTATGTTGTAAAAAGTAAATCCGTCTGAATTCCTTAGAAAAACATTTATTTTACCTTCATTTTAAGGGGATTCCCATTGTATTTATAGCGTTATATGTGGCCCCAATGGAGATTTTCACACCTCCCCCACTCTTGATTAATAAAATTCTTCATCTGGAGGATTGTAAATTATATTGCAAAATACACTGAAAATCGTAGGAAAGTTAACTGCAGATAATGCTGCGAGGATATTCTTAACAGTGGGGGAACTCGGCCATTATAAAATTTTTAACTTCGTTTTACGATTTTGGAGCGCCTGTTCTAATTTTTGAACGCGAGGCAATGGAACCAAACAATGCGATACAATTTGTAATCTCGTAAAAATTGCTATTTTTATATAAAGGTCATAGCATGGAGTACATCGAAATGCGACTTGTTTATTATTATGATCTTAAATAATAACTAATATAAGTAAATTACAATATTGTTTATACAATTACTGCAATCAGATTTTACAATTACAGTATACGCTCAGTTATTTTGGTTGACTAGGTGGTGGTTGGTTGAGAATATTTTTTCTTTCGTAATTACACATTGTGGGCCACATTCTTTATAACATTCATATCGTTTGACTGCATTATGCATTTGAACTGATCCTCTGGGGTTTGTGTAGGATCTGGCTTTAGAATCTCCCTGTGTTTGGTGAGTAAGGGGGAGACTCAGTGAGAAGTGAACAGTACTCAGATCTACTCATTTACACACAACAGGTGAGAAGCCAAAAAGACCACATTCTGAGGTGGCCAATTCAAGCCCCGATGAAATACAATTACTAATGAGTGAAATATCAGAAATAAAATGTGAAATCCAGGAAACCATTAAAAAAGATGATCTGCGTTAATATTATTGAAAATTGCACTGCTTTCGAAAACTTTCACAAACCTTTTTTGCCACACCATATAGCAGATAGTCTGTATGTGCGCTTACCTCCTAATTGACCTATAAAGCAACTTTGGGAGACTGCATGCGTGAACGTTATCTAATATTACCCGGTACACTTGGCCAAAAAAAGTTTGGAAACAATAAATGTACATCTTAAGTCGCCCCTTGGGCGGACGATATTATATAATGTGTGTCAATTTGTTATTCCCTGGACAATCAGCGTTAGAAGCTTGAGACGTTGTGGTCTATGGGCCACTTAACATGCATGGGGGTTCACGCTTAATTGTTATCAGCTCAAGAGGCTTAAATTAACTTGTCAGTTTTCCCCGGTAAATTTAGCAACAGATGTCGATGTTATAATTCAGGGCTCGACACACTTGTATCTGCTGGCATTACATGCTAGCAAACACAAGTGATTTTCTTCTGGGTCAATTGAGTAGTGCCTCCGTGTAATATATATATATATATATATATATATATATATATATATATATATATATTCATACAACCCCACCATTAAAGGGATAATACATATAGGCTACCTCTTCTTATGGATCTATATTTCACAATAAAAACATTGTGAACGACTCATAGAAATATAATATATTCTGTTTTACCACAAAAACACGTTATCGCTTTTATTCTGATATCTGAGATTTTTTTAGGGATTATAACAAAAAAATAAAACTTAAAATAAATAGAAAAATAAAAACAGGAACTAACTCTGAATGTAAAATGGATTCATTTACAATTGGTAAGTAAAATTGTTGTTTTCTCCAGGAAAATTCATTTTTTGACCCAAACGAAGAGCTATATTATCCTTTTAAGGATCGAGATAAATCAACTAGCTTCTTATTCTCATTCCGTTCGGGCTGCATTTTTTTCTTTCCGCTTTTCCGCTGTGTGTATGTGTAAGTGTGTGTTTCAACAATAGCAAACATTATGCCCCCATATAATACACATATTGATCGCGGTTGATTTTTGCATTCATATCACTAAAAGGTCATGCACCTCTGCCATCTAGGAGCTATGGATTGTACAAATAAAGTGTTTACACAGCGCAGCGCATGTATTTCGCTCAGACGCAACAGACACCTGCAGGTTATAGAAATGTCTGCTCAGTAACCAACGTACTTTAAGTTTTGTTATTCCTAAGTCTATTAAATAGGCCTGTGCAGTGAAACTGGGAGTTGCAAAATGGTGAAAGCCACTGTGTTTTGGACTTTGAGGACATTATATGGGCTTTTTAGGACTGGAATTAATGTTATCTTGTGATTATTTGACCTGCGCAGGATTGCAAATGGCGTCCCAGTTTTTACCAAGCCGATAGGGTGAGTGCCATGCTGCCAGGGTTATATAAAACCTCAACTAGATTTAATTTGTACTAAAATGCCTTAACCAGACAGACAAGACATCATGATGAAGGTATTCACGTTGAGGGGGCATTTCAAAACAAATACGGATTCCCTTCTACGAAAGTTGAAGTCTGTTGGGATTATATACAGTGTTACTGTATACAGCGGTTCAAGTATAGTAAATGCAAAATATCGACACGCCTGTGTTTTAAAAGGGAATTCCAACTACGTCGTGATGGTAGAGAGCAGGGGGATCCAATATGAGAGGTTAGTTGAAAACTGTGTGCCTTTAGGAGATTGGAAAGATTTCGAACTTAACCTAGTAGCCTAAATGAAGAGAATGCAGGGTTTTCTGTTTGGTCCCAAGACCTCCATGCCCAAATGTTCACATCACTCTGCGTGGTATTTTTATCCAGCATTCCTTATGTGACTACCGATTTAATATGGCCATTATTCTGGCATTCTATAACAAAACAATTCTTNAACATCTATTAGTGAAAGTGTATCAAATAAACTGTGCTTTTATAACTTTCAATGTTAAAAATACCATGTTAACTACGTGAAACTGGCGCGTTGTACCGGTACATGTACTATTACTAGCATTATTATAGTACAGCTCACTGAACAAAAACGGCAAACGAGGCTCGGTTGAACGCACGATTTGATTTTAGCGTCAATCCAGTATGCATCTAGTTTAATCAGTGGCGTAAAATATAAGAACGTGTATGGAAATATGTACAACAGTTTTACCCCCAGTATACATGTACCTACCTTCACTGCACTCAATGGCGACGTCTTCGTAATGGCCACAGTTATGGTCCCCCCACCTTGGCTTGTCACACTGCACCAGAACCTGCTCGTTCCCCGTACACGCGAGATTGTCCATCCATATCGGATACGAAGCACTTAAAGTCCCAAGAGATCCGTCTAAAATATACATGTAACAGAAAGTTTTAAAACGATAACAAAAAAAAACACTTGTATTGATTTTACTGGTGCTGCATATACTATATTTTATTGTATGTACACGGTGGAGTAATGCCAATTTTACAATGACCGTTGATTTTGACTGATTTTGATTTTGATCTAGGTTGATTTTTTTCTTCCGTCGCCATTAAAAGCCCCTTGTGTTTAAAGCTTATACAATATTTTCAGATTAAAATGCTTGAAATATGACACATGAGATACTTTGACAAAAGGAAACCGCCTGCTTTACCTTTAATCGTCCTTATCGCCTGTTTGAAGCCAAGTGAACGGCACAACACGTGGGCGTCATTGAGACCCATGTAATCGTCACAGAGGGATCCCCACTTCCCATAATGCCACAGTCCCACGACCCCCTTGTTCACGTGACCGTATCTGCTCGTTGACGTGGTGCCCATTAACTTAATGGTCAATGCTGAATGATAAAATGATAAACGTAAGTTTCATACATGACTCATGATTCGAGAAAAAAAGTATGTCTACTTCTGCTTGAAATAAAAGAGAAATGTTTGAAGAGACAATGGTCGCCGTTATGCCACTCGTTAGATGTAAATTTCTAACAAAAATAATTTAAGAATTTAATAATCTGTCTTGGAGTATAAAATAAGCGACAAACTGCATACCACAGTTCATTTCGTCCTCCGGAATCTCTGTTCTAGGATCTCCACAGTCCACAATGGCATCACAGTACAGGCGCCGGGGTAGACACGCGTCATCTTTGTAACAGCGGAAGTACCCCACGGGACAGCTGCCTAAATTATCAAAATATTCCTCACAAACGTAAGAACACCATGGAATAATTACATACTTTTCATTTATCAAATTATACGATTTGTCTTATACTATTCTGCTCAGTTTACAGATCACTTTATGAATTTTACATTTACATTATTACTAGTTATATAATATTTCTATCAATATTTATCTATTGATCTCTCTCGATCTCTCTCTCATTCATTTTTTTTTTCTAATTTTCCCCCTTTGTTTTTCAACTTTACTCCCGTGTATGAATGGACGCAATGGACTTACCACACATGCGTTCATCCGAGCCGTCTCCGCACTGGTCAGCACCGTCACAGATATACCGGTTATCCAGGCACTTGCCATTGTCACACACGAAATTGTAGCTATCTGCATAGCATTTAGCTGAAAAAAAAGTGAAATTTACTTTTGTGCATTAACATTCCCCCTGTGAACAATACATTTAGTTTGAAAAGATTTTTTAACTTAGCTATGAAAAAAATTGCGACGAGATAACAAAGGTAAATTACAACACGACTTAAAATTAAAGAAGCAGGTTAGGATAAAAAACATCAGTGATGTGCACGAATTTCGTATGATATTTGCACAACTGTTGCTTATAATTTTTCAGTTACTATTAATTTCTTTCCAAATTGGAGGGTGCTATTAGAGGGTAGCATAAAACAGCAAAAATTAAGGGGAAGTCAGAATAATGGAAATATTACACAAAATGTGTGCATCACCGTCGTGTCTCCTACACACGCGCTATCAGGACCAAGAATTGATTTTTCACTAGATCTTCACAGACACATCTCTGGTTAATTCCTGGCGCTTTTCTCTACTGTGACGATAGATAAAAATTCGCACAATTCATCTGCGGCCCTGGTAGAGGGTAATTCTTACTTATTTTCACATTACTGTGGAATGAAAAATTTATCAACTCACTTCTGACCATACAGTCTACAGAATGACTCTTGTATTTGGTCCATCCATCACAACATCTGTAGGCCGTCAGGTATTTAACACTGTTCAATAACGGAGATATAAATTGATATAAATATAATAATGCATATATGTGCATATTTAAAAATGTATCAAATGCTGCAAAGTAAATCAGCGGTACATGGTGTCTTGATGCCAAGGATATGTCCGAGACTAATGTTACTAATATTTCACGCTATTCAAAGGCATCTATAAATGTAAGAAATAGACAATTGTGTTAGAAAGGTCCCTTACAGTATTACTATTGTTTGCCATCTGAGAGAATATCATGAGAGAGAGAGAGAGAGAGAGAGAGGGGGAGGAGGGAGAGATCATTACGTAGATTTCCCGTTTATGTCCTTTGATTCTACACGCTGCCTGTAGGTACATACGTTCGATCTGGAATTATCAGATAATTTGTGTCACTATAACCAATCCTCACAGAAAATAACACAGTATAGTTTTTTATTGTTTTCTAATCAAGGAAATTTATAACCAAAGAAATTTTAAACAGTTTGTGCTCGAATTGATATCACGCTTATGTTTCGGGTATTTCATCGCTGTATCAAAAATGTTACAATGAGAAAAAACTAAACAAAAATATAAGCATATTCAAGAAATTCACCACCAAAGGCACTGACATCACCAATCGGAACAATTTGTGGTCAGTTTTAGTGTTCTTTCTACTCTTTTTTTTCATTTTCCTTCTTTCTAATAGTTTTTACTTTTTTTCCACGTAATGGAAAGCAAAAGAACGGGAATAAAAATTCTGTATAAAAACAGTTACGCGCCTTTTTTCCCATCTTTTTGTTATCTAAATTTTCATTTTCTGAATTCTTTCAACTATTCCTTCTTTCCCTATCATTCATGTTTCTTGTTGAAAAGGTCCGACTGTATCAAGTCTATAAGATCAATTAAAACCTTGTATTTCCACAACTCTAAAACGCCTCTTTGTGTTTAAACTGACTCTGGATATGACAAAAAAAACACATCTTACCCTGTGGGAAGCAAAGTGCTGGTCTTTGCTGGTGCGATCTGGCTATAAGATTTTCCACACAAAACTAACTGTACACAAAGAAAAATCGCAGTTTGCTGTAGAATTGCTGCCATATTCAGACATTAATTAATGTGATAAATATCAGTCAGTGTTTTTGTTTTATCTACTAGGACTATAATCCTAAACACGGCGCACTTTCCGAGTTTGGAGCTCATCTACCGGACTCATGAGACTTGATCCACTCCTACTATATAGACATAATGTGTGCACTGAATACAAAGACCAAACACTTGTGATATTAAAATCACTCCTCTACAGACCAAAACGTCATCGAAAAAACAACAGCACCGAACTCATCTGCCCTCAACTCTGGCTGTAAAAAAGGCAGCAGTAGCTCAGCATTTAGTTCTTAGTGTGGGTTGGGTAGTCAAGTGTACAGAAATAAGAACGTTGTATGAAAACAGTTACGCGCCTTGTCAACATACCGTGACGACCGGCTATTAAAGCAATAATACTATGCTTGATTCGGGCTTTAAAAAATGAGACAGTTTCTTTCAACCAGACGTGGTTGACACTAAACACAAGCCATATCTTAATTTCACGAATGGGTGTTGTAAAAGGCTTAGTTATCAATAGGCCCCGACTTGAGTATTATCAATAATGGCTCGGATATCTATGTGCACCTGACAAATTTCACATCGTGTCAAAAATACACTTTTAGGACAAGACGTGGCTAACGGAGCTCTAGTTGCGTATGATTAGCTATATAGCAAGTTTTGTATCTAATCTGCACATATGACTTAACCAGGTTTTTGTCAGAAAACATTAAACTGTTAAGTTAACCAATGTCTTTTATATTCGAGGTGTACAGGTAGTACCGACAGTTACAACATGGAGAGACGGCAAAAAATTATGCCTCAGCGTCAGAAACTATATTAAAATACGTCTGTCTCACCAGACGCATGACATATATATATATATATATATATATATATATATATATATATATATATATATATATATGTCGACATACGTTCGATGAACTAAAAAAAACACGTAAATGACGTAGAGCTGACGTCGAAATAATGTCAAGCTGATGTTGGAATGACGCCACCCGCCTATTAGCATGGTTCGAAGGTCTAAATTGATGTAGCTTGAATATGGACTTTATACTTTCACCATAATTTTTTTTGTCGGCCCGTCGATTTTAATTAAAAGATGTTTTTGTAAGTAATTGACTATAGATATTCCCTTGCATACAGATTCCCGCTTACAGAATCACACCACAACAATGATCAATTTGAAAATGTTCAAGTGCACAAAATAATAAACTTCATAATTTCTTTATATAGTTTCTTGTAAATGCTAAACACAGAAAAAAACTGAAATCGAAACAGATCTTTATTGATTACCTGATTTCTTTTTCAAAACAATTTAATTCAGATACACAATAAAATATAGTAAAAACAACTGTAACAGCACATAAGCGACTTAAATCTGAAGTATGAAAATGTAGTCAAAATTGTAGTCAAAATGGCAGTTTTACATATTATTACTTTGGACTGGTTTCGCATGCTTTACCTTTTGTCGTTTTTTTAAAATCATTATTAATTGTGAGAGCTTAATTCAAAAGATTTGATGTGGCATGGTAGCTTTTAAATATGTGGTACACTATGAACGGTATAATATTTTAGAAAAAAATCACTGAAACTTTAAACATAGTTTGCAAAATTTAAAAGATGAAGTACACACATTGTTTTAACTCCTACACGTAGCTTATATAAATAAGAAATATTTCATTTGACTATTCATGTACAAATGGTCCATATCTTTACAAAAGTAACACATAAGGCACACGAGAGAGAGAAAAAGAGAGAAAGAATGCATATACCAGTATAGTCGACCACATTCATTCAAGTGAAAGAATTTATAAAAAATCATACAAGTGGCCCTCTTTTGCATAAGTTCTGTATTTTATAAAATATCCTTCCAAGAAACTAGAAATCACATAAGGTCCTGAGTGTTGAAACTAAATTTGAACAAGGTCCCCTTTATCAAAAGAAAATCTTAAAGAGTGGATATTATAAAGATTCAGAAAGTAAAAATATCTTAATATGTTTACACAGCGAATTATACCGTTTAAAAGTAAATAATATTGACTCAAAATGTGTATATTTACAACTTGTGCCAAAGCAATCAGTGCTGCCGAGTTTAAAGAAATGATAGTCCTTTGAACGACCTGTCCTTGCGCATGCGCAAATAGCCCTGCTCAGTCGTCGGGCGATTAATTTTCACTATTTCTGGGAGAAATGCAGGAAAGTTTCAGAACTGCATTTTGTAACAACCTTATATAAATAAATAAAACTGGAAATAATTATGAAACAATAGTCAATCCTATTATGACTTACTCTCGCAATTTGATTTGAGATGATTTTTCTAGTTTGATTTCGATTGGTATTCTAATGCCTAAAACAGCTTTGAATAATTCTACACAATTTTGTTAAGTTCCACGTAGATAACTATGTAATAAAAGGCAATAATATCACTTAAATGAAAATCGCACATTGTATGCACGTACTTTGGTATTCCTAAATGTCCGCACGAGCGTGCATGCACGCAAAGGTGTTATCTTGATAAAAACAACAAGCACCAAGATTAAAGTACCATTAGTAGAAGAAGCAAATCTACAAGCTAAAGAAGAAAATCCACAAGAGGGAAGTACCCCACAGACTGTGCTGTTCAAGGAATTGTACAAATGAGACATTCAAAAAGAGTAAAACGTGACCCACATACTTTGACCTATGTCAACTACCAGTACATATATAAGACAAAAATAACAATACAAAACCACCTCTGGAGGACTGATAAAGATCTCATAAAATACATTTATGAAATTGGTTTTCAACATGACTAGTGCAAATCCATTTGTATACAACCCTTTTACACATCTTAAAAATATCTTCAATAAATAAAAGAATAAATGAAATGATAAATAAATGAATAACATGAACAACCAGCACTAAAAAACATGCATTATAACAGTACACGGTCATCTCCTTAATTGAATAACAGCTCAATAATTACCAAAAATTAGAACAGAAAAAAAACTCTATTATCCAGTCTGTCATTTTCAATGATTTGGCCAAGCCAGGTGATTCAGACTGTTTGCTGTGCCCCAACACATGTATAAATATGAAAACATGCTAACAGGTTATAACCCTTCTAAATCATTGTCATGGGTTACACACTCCACGCTATATAATAACATGCTATTATTTTTAACAATTTACATCATTTTATGATTTTTACTTCTTCTGTCAAACAAGCATATTGATTACCTAAACTTAGATCTGCAAAACCATACGCCACATTAAGATATTACCCAATTTTTCAATAAAATATTTTACATCAGTTTCTCAAAGAAAAAAAAAGATGATTATCATGCCGTCTAAAATAACAATTACAAACCTTTAAGGCATCAATAACATGCAATTGTGTTGTACACAAAAACCAATATCAGTTTCATATTGCAAAAGGTCAACTAAACCCTTTTTTGTTGTTCTCTTTGATAAAGCTAAGCCTTGGTAGCAAATCTATTCCTAATTTGCCTTGATGAAAAAAATAACATAAATTAGACGCTCTTCAAATAGTGTGTAAAGGTCAATATATAGTATCATAATTGGCTGTTACTAGAAATGTGTTGAAATATTTAAAAAATATTGTATCCCTCCCCACTTATTTAATCTTCAACTAGCTGTTGTTATAGTGAAACACCACATGACTACATAGATTTATTTGCACTTCAGTAAAATAAAGGTGCATCCAGACAAGGACTTAAACTCAGACTGATTTAGGTAAGTCCACAAGGCGTCCACAGATGATGAGATTGTAATACCATATCTTAACACTCTGTTATATATATTTTTATGGTTTAATTCTGTGTTGTATCTGTACTGTTAGAGCTAAAGTTTTTGCAGAGAAGTTCAGAAATTATGTCAACAGCCAGCTGGTCTATGGTGGGGAGTTAAACCTTGCCATAACAGTCCATGATTTGCCTTGTGTGAACACGGTTCAGCTGTGCTGAGCAAGGTAACGAGCAAACCCCACCAGACCTTGAACACTTAATCACTGGACCATTCTTTCAGTTATCTGTTGACACCAGTTGCACCTAAATGAATCCAAACTTAGGCTTCGTTCACATGGAATGTCTATTTTCTAAAAATCTATTTTCTATTCGCACTATCTTATGATCACGGTCTGTGCCCTGAATATCCTGCCGCGTAATTTCTGGCAGCGCGAGCCAGTTACTATAAGTTACTATAAGGATATTCAGGGCACAGACCGTGATCATAAGACATACCGCGAATAGAAAATAGAATTTAGAAAATAGACATTGCATGTGAATGAAGCCTTAATTCCGTGTGTGAAAACACCTTATAACAAAAAACAACAGGCATTTAATTTCTAATGTTTTGTTGCTAAGGGGATGGCATGCATTTTAATCTGGCAAATGCTTCTTTCTCCAGTGTTTCTCTGTGATCTGGGTGAGCGATTTTGATTAATTCGTAAGCTCTCTGTCTGAGATTCTTGCCAAACAAGGACGCAATGCCGTATTCTGTCACTATGTAATGTGCATGCGCTCTGCTGGTTGTAACACCTGCCCCTGTAATACAAGCATTACTCATTTTATGAAGTACATGTATCTTTGTTTTTCATCATATATACCATGAAAAAGGTGTGAAAAAAACACTTTTTTCAATAATAATTCTGAATATTCCCGATTCTAATTTTATTGGACGACTGAAAACATGCACCAAATGCTAAAATAGCCTTTTGTTTTGAGCAAAAAACTTACAACTTCTGTGGAAGGTTCAGAACTGTTTTTTTTTTTTCTTTTTTATCACTGAGCCTTTTCATTTAATAACAGCACAGGTAATTTGGAATGAACACTATCTAGTGCGTTAAAAAAGAGCATGCATATTCATTCACTCAGTATCGTAATATCAGATCTGTCCATAGTTTTAGTTAAATAAGTCTTACCAGCTTTTAAGACGGGAACAATTTTGGATTCCCCTTTTTGGGTTGTAGAGGGGAGAGCAATGATTGGTTTCCCCTGGCCGTCCATACTTAGAGCAGCACCACGCAAAAAGTCAATTTGACCGCCAACACCTGGGGAGATTTTCGAAAAGTCAGTGTCACAGCAGTAAATATTGTGATAAATTTAAAATCATTGAAGACAGAAATAAGATTCATAGTTTTTTAATCCATACAGAAATTGATGTATTAAAAATATTATGAAAGCTCATTTTTCTACTGGCATATATTTGCTTTGAATTTAGTTTATGAGATTCCTGGCTAAAATGTTCTCATATTTTTCCCACTAAAATGCCCTTATCTATTGCCCTATATGAATTTGAAAAAAAAAAACAAAATTCAGCGCATCAAAACCTTTTTCTCTATAAAGATCATTTTTATAAGAATCAGATGAATTGGTTTACCGGAGTACATCCATGTCCCAATGGAGTCTGCACACACCTGTCCTGTCAAGTCAATCTCAATACACGAGTTGATTGCCGTCACTTTTGGATTCTGGCTAATTATGGAAGTATTATTTACAAACCCTATGTCCAACATCACTGAAAGAAGAAAAAAACTGAAATGTACCATGGGCTTCCTTATTTTTCTCATGTGAAATATATATCCCCTTTTGTTAAATATAATAATAATAATTTTTTTTTTTCAATTATCTCACATAGAAAAGTAATTATTTTAGGATAGAGCAGGCAACTTATTGCCTTTAATCTACATATTAATGTTTCAAATTACCATAAATCATCACAACTAGGAGAAAACTCTAAGGGAAAAAAACACATTATAATAGCATTGGTAAAGTAGGTATAACTTTTTTTCTTCTGTTTTTCTACTTTACTATTTTTATCCCCCTGTATATAAAACTCAATTCCAACAAACCCCACATACCAATCATTGGATTATCGTGCATATACTCGTACAGCCTCTTTGTCCCCACGGCAAAACCTCCTACGATTTTCCCAGGATGGATATTCTTCCCAGCATTTGTGATGGCACCACGTTCCACGAGATCGATCATGCTATCGCCCAACATCTCGCTGTGAATGCCAAGGTCCCGGTGACTCCACAGAGCACTGATTACCGCATCTGGGATATTACCAATACCTGAAGAAACCAAGAATAAACTTATTTAAGGAATCTTTAAGAACTGTTTTTGAAGTATTTTTCTATAGTAACTGTAAGTAATTTCAATGATGGGCAATTGCAACTCTTCAGCTTTTTTATTCGAATAGTTTAGTTTCACTTTCATTTTGTTTTGTTTTAGCTGAAGTCAAGTTTTCATTGACTCTTATACCAATTCCCAATGTACCACCTTAACACTTGACAATTTAGCACCTCCACAATTGCTGCACCTTGTAATAAATCCTTCACAATAAAATAAACTTTGTACATTGGATAAGAGTAATATTCTCCAGCACCACTGCTGTGAACTAGGTCAAATTTAAGATAAAAGTCTGAAAAAAAATTCATAACTGCAAAAGAAATGCATTGTTGTGAATCAGACAAATTTTTCAAAAATGCCTGTCCATGGCACCTGAAATTGAGGAAATTGTCAAAACGACATCTTAACCAACACTCACCCATCTGCAAAGTGGCGCCATCTTGAACTAAGTTAGTAGCGATTATGCGTCCAATCTGCTGTTCCACCTCGCTAGTTGTCCTGTTGGAGTTATACTCAGGCAGAGCGTAGTCTTCCTGCACCATGGCGTCAAAGTGAGACATGTGAACCATTCCGTCTCCAAACGTACGAGGCATGTTGGGGTTCACTAGAGCTGTTACAGTTACAAATAAATTAATGAAAAAATTGCTAATGATAGAAAATAAATAAATAAACAAAAAATAATAATATTAAAACTAATTTAATAATTTGAAAACAGGGATGAGACTGCCATTCAGTGAAAAAGTTGGAAAATACGGCATAGGGTCCAGGGGGCTGCCTGGGACAATACTTTTGGCTCCCAAAATTTGCTTTAAATATTTTAAAAATATTTTTCTTCCTCCGAATAAATATATCACTTACCTATGATATACCTGGCATTCTGCAAGGCAGCTCTAGCACAGTCCACACTGGGACCCAGCGTACAGAAACCGTGTTCATCTGGCGAGCTGACGGAGATCAGGGCAACATCTAGGGTGATTAAATTGCGCCTAAAAAGCAGCGGAATTTCACTGAGAAATATGGGGACAAAGTCAGCCCTTCCGTCATTCACTGCTTCACGGCAATTGTCTCCAATGAAAAATGAGTTACTTCTGAAAATTCCTAGAAGGAAAAAATATCACATTAAAAAAATTATCATAAATGGTCAATGAATAATATAGTTAATGAAAGATACATTAATACGTATAAACCCTATTATATTAAAAATATTTTAATGAGTTTGTAGGTCTTGTGTGGTCAAAATTTTAGGATTTTGACTTCTTGTGACTGAAGTAATTATCAATAAAATGACACTTTTCTAGTTAATAAACATGTAAATAAAAAGCAAATGTAAAAAACATGTTTTTACAAAATGAAAGAAAATATAATTAAACAGATTAATGACTCACTGAATGAATGTATAAACAAGAAACATGCAAATACAAATGATAAAATACGCATAATACAAGCAGGAAAAAAACTATAATTAACAAACTAAATAAATAAATAAATATTGACTCACCCTTGTACTCTGGCTGCACATAAGGGGTTTGGCAAATGAGAAACATGTCCATAATCTCTATTCCGTTCAGGTCGGAGTCTAACCCATGCTGTGCCAGGGCATTAACGAGAGGCATGGGGGTGGCCGCCCCACCGTGGACAAATACCTTCATCCCTGGAATATGAACATTATGACTCTCAATTCTAATTTTATTTCATTATGAGGCATATGGCAGGGACGTATAAGGATTGTAATGTATCAGTATATGAGCTGCTGAGATACAGACAGAATATAGGGCAGTATAGTTATTGTTTTTCAGTAAATTTGAAAATATAGAAGTATATCATTAGTTACTGCAAGTATGAACAAAAATACTGTAACATAATTACATGCACTGGGCGAGGCATTAGTTTTGAATCAGATCAGTCAAATTTACTCAGAGATGCATGATAAATCTCTACATTATGATGTGTACATTTTTTACACAAATATTTAGAACTTATGTTTCTGAGATACAGGTATCAATTCCTACACATTAGTAACCATGCAGGGTATATATAAACCTGGTTCCAAGTTGTCTGTAATAAGATTTATGATATCATACAAGCCTGCCTGACTGGATGAATTACTAGTATTTGCACATAAAAATTATGACATATTGAGTCAGAATAGTAGTAGTATATATAATACACAGTGGGCAGTGCCGGATTTAGAGAAGGGGAAGTCAAGGGGGTCCTAACCCCACCCCCCCCCCCCCCC